GCTGCCACACGAGGTCTTAGAGAACGAGGGGCAGCCCGCATTCCTCGCGAAGTCCGACAGTGGAGGTGACTACTGCTCAACAGACAAAATCTGTAAGGAAATCTGCGACGCGGATTTCATGGTGTACCCTGTGGGAGACAAGTGCATGGAGTACTGCCACGAGGACATCCACTACATTTGGGACGTTTTCGACGGCTCCTGCGCGGAGGGCATCAAAGACCAGCAGAAGTTCTGTGCAGACCTTTGCTATGACGGCTTCTACTGCGGTGATGAAACATGTGGCCCGTGTGAGTCTAAGTGTGCGCAGGAGTTCAGCCTGGTGCAGGAGATCTTCGACTTTTGCGCAGACTGCGATCCACCAGCTACCACAGCAACGACCACGATGGCAAACATTTATGACATGTGCTACAGCGATGATGCTGACAAATGCGAGGACATGAAGTGCTGGTGCAAAGAGGTCTGCGACATCGTCAAGTGCCCGCATTGCGAGGAGCTCTGCCACAAGAACCAGGACAAGGTGCGGTCAATCTTCGATCGCTACTGCGACTGCGGCTTTTGCGATGTGTGGGCGTCACCCACAGAGGATGCAGGGTTGCTGCAAGTCCGCATGCTCACTGATGCGACTGACTCATGTGGCTGCCGAAGTGAACACCAGTACTGCTTCGACCTTTGCAAGGGTCTCGGTTACAGTGGACCCGGGCTGGGACGGTGCACTGAAGACTGTGCCTCAAGCGGGAAGTTTGGGCATCTCTTGGAGGATTACTGCCACGAGTGCCACGATGACCCGCACTACCCCAAGACCACAAAGACGACCACCACCACAACTATGGCAACGACCCCAACGACGCCCACCCCAACGACGCCCGCACCAACAACACCCACCCCAACAACGCCAAAGCCTTACACGACCAAGACCACCAGCAAGCCATACCCTACAACCACAAAAGCATACCCAAAGACGACAGAGCCTTACGAGACAACTGAGCCCTACAAGACCACGGAGCCAGACTACAAGACAACTGAGCCCAGCTACAAGACCACGGAACCAAGCTACAAGACAACTGAGCCCAACTACCAGACGACAAAGGCTCCGTACCAGCCGTATTATCCCAAGAAGGATTATTACAAGGCC